TCGATTGTTTACAAACCGCCGCCATATAGGTGGAATATTGCTGAGTGCGGCATAAAACAACATACCAACCAACCATCTAGACCGATCAAGTGTACAGCTATGCTTGCCTGTCACAGCTGTTAACACTCGTAATAGTTGGCTAATTTGGGGATGGGTAAGTCGTAAAAGTTGGCTAATTTTGGGATGGGTAGATCGGATTTTATTTATTCCTGCAGGGATTATCGGTTCCTTACTTGCAACCATGTGACCATAAAGTTGTTTGTGACCGGAAGTACTAAACAACGTAAGGTCTCGCGTGCCGTGCCGCGACCTACTTACGGGCCCTATTGATGGAGCAAGGACGTCGTGCTCCCATCGCCGAGTGGATGCACGGAATCCCAAGCCCTACTGATCACTACTTGGCGGACACCAAAGACGTTTGCAGCATGACTCGTTGATTCATTTTCAAGCATGGATTTCCCTTTTTCTTCTGTCTTTGGCGACGGTCTTTGATTTGACTCTGTGGGCGTATACGAGCGTTCGGTTACTGCACTCCACAGTAACCGATGTTGCTGCTCTCTCTGATAATGGTATGCAACGATTCTGTGACGATACATCCAAACACTGCTTGTCCAAAGGTCCATGTGCACATCGTGCCTATTGCTGCATGTCTATCTCCATACGTAGTTAAACTGAGGTCATACTGGGGTCAGCAAGCCATTGTGTAGATGTATTTTACCTTTATGTGTTGGATGTATATTCGGGTATAACAAAATCGTGATCTTTGACTAGTATACATAAATACATGAGGGCACCAAGCCTAAACAGTTTTGACATGAGATGCGTTTTCACCGTAAAGGAAAGGTTATTTCCTGACGTTCTCAAAGTTCTCGAGTTGTGATGGCGTGTTTTCCTGTGCATAAAGCTCATGGCAGAAATCAGTTAAAGTTAAGCAACATTGAGCGCGGAGAGTCATTGAATGGGTAACCGTGTTTGGCAGCTTGTCTCCTGAGAGTTACTGCGACATTCAGACCTGCCCCACAACGAAACACATGTGAATACATGTGGTTTCACCTTAGGTAAGTGAGTTTGTTCAAAATTGCCTCTGTTTAGCCAGCAGAGGGGGTGGTGGTTACACCCGAGAGAGGTTTCACATATTGTACTCACGTCCGGAATCGAACCCGGGTCTTCAGCGTGACGAGAAGACGCTGTAACCACTAGGCCACCCAGACGCAGTACGTGAACTGTGAGTGTTTTATTATCGTGAAAATTACGCACGAGTAATGACACAAATGTGTTTTGTGCGAGCCATTAGCATATAAATGGATATGTGTTGTGTTGAGCAAAGGTAGAAGAAGGCCCGCTGTTACAAATTTTGGGTTCAGAAGGTGAGCTGCAGTACCTGCTGGTCGTCTTGTATATCAGTGGTTAGACTGTCATCTATGTTTGCAATGGCAAGAGGGAAAGTTGAATGGGTTTACCCAACCACGGAAAGAAAGAGAACGTGTATCACCGATATTCAGCTAAGGAAATAACGATATAGGTCACTGCACAGGATGACTTGCTAAATATTAATTTATTTCAGACTGTTGAAAGCATCTGTAGGAATTTCGACAGGATTGAATGCAATAACCACAGGGTAAAGTAAAAGTGACAGCAAATGGGGGCGACTGGTGAAGTACTCGTCGGGGGCATTAGTCGCAACTTTAAGTACAAGTGATATACCCGTCAATTCACATGCGCAGCAAGGTAAAGTATAACCGACTAGGACAAATAGAACGACAGGGATTAATACGTACAAGTCGATGACATTAGCGACAGGAATGAACACAAGTGACGTACAAGTCGATGCCATTAACGACAGGGACAAATTGAATTTGTCGATGACATTAGCGACAGGGATGAATACATGTGACGTATAAGTCGATGACATTAGCGACAGGAATGCATGCAAGTGGTCTTCTCGTCCATTACATCAAGGACAGGGTTACGTACAAGTGACGTACTCGTCGATAGGATTAGCGATAGGGTTCAGTATACGTTCTGTACTCGTCGATTACATTAGCACAAGGAACGTACTCGTATGTCGTACATCGAAAGCATCACCGACATGGTCAGGTACAGGTCAACTGTTATAAGCAACAGGGTTAAGTACAAGAAAAGTACAACTTGTCTAAAAGCATTAGCGACAGAGACGAGTACAGGTGATTTATTTTCGTCCATGACTAAGGGCACATGTTTAAGAAAAAGTAACGCACTCGTCTTTGAAATTAAGGACATGGTTAACTAAAATGGTTAGGCTTAGGGCTCTGGCTAATGCTGACAATGCTGTTTCATCGTTAATTGTGATGCGATATGAAGACAGGGCTCACTTGCACAAAGCGATCTTAGCGTTACAATGATTGTAACTCCCATACTCTAACATAGGCTTAAGATAGTCGTAGCTCTAAGTTCGCTCTGTGCAAGTGGGCCCAGGGCTTGTATAGTACAGGTTTTATGTTTGTGATTGCACTGTTTATGTTTGTGATTGAACTGAAGAGAATGTCAGGTTAAACCGTTGCAAATAAAAAAGGGCTTACAAGCTGATCGCAGTGGAAAATGATGGTTTTATGTATGTATACCATACCTGTCGATAGCAATGGCGAGCAGAGTGAGAATGTTGGACACGATGGTAACCCCCTGGATGTAGTTGTAGAACTTGCACATGAACAACCCCATCGTCCACTCGTTGGTGACGATGGACAGAAGCTGGAAGGGCATGTTGAGAACGGAGATGAGAAGGTCACTGATCGCAAGAGACACGATGAACAGGTCAGTCACTGACCTCATCATCCTGGTTAGGAAGATGACCACGATGACCACCAGATTGCCCAGCATGGCCAGGACGATGATGAGGATGTACAACACTATGAATGTCACCACAAGATCATGGGCCAAGGGAGAAGGAATGAAGTTGTCCTCACTGTAATTCCCCACGAAGTATCCGGAACCGTTCTGAGAGGCATTCTCACACTTTGGAGTTTCCGTCACGTTGAAAAACGAGACGGGTTCCGTTGAAATCATTTTAAATCAAATTCAATCCAAAGTATTATATCAAACCTTTGTTAAATTGTCATTTGACGCCAACTTTCGAAATTTTTATAAGTGAATCTACCGAAATTCCAAGAATGATGTTCTCTGGCAGATTCTTTGAAGAAGAAAACCTCAAATGTTTTCAAGTGTCAAATATCCGATTCAGGGAATCTGATTACTAAAATAATATGTTTTCAAGACTCCCAGAGGAATTCACTCCAGCGCGTCCTGTCACAACTATGGGCAGAAGAAGACTGACAATACAATCAATGTTTGTCGAATGTGTAATCTTTGTTACAGACACAGTTTCACCCATTATTAATAAACGTGCAGGTATTTGCAAACGGCCTCTGAAACAGACAGATGTAAGAGTTATTAATTGGACAGCAGATGGCCTTTCTCTATTGACATTATCATCAACCAAGGAGTTTGTTTGCTGTTGTAAGATCGGAGGGCTTGATTTATCACCAATCTTCCCAGTCTGACAATAACAAGGATGAAGACAATATAAGAGATTAGGAGGCTGAAGATATGAGGGAAATATCACCTGGTTGGCAATGTGAGTACAATTGGTGCCTACTGAGCGGAATAAACAATATTCTTGCCGTGGCACTCGTTGGTCGATACCAAGTGACAGGTTCCAAGTGGATATCACTGCTCTAACAAGTGCGTACACATTCATTTGAAACGCGTGTTCTCAATTAATTACGCTGCGGCCAATCCATTTGTGACAAGACTTGACATAAAACGATGCGTAAATTGTGAAGGATCCGGATAAGGACCACGCTTGAACTTTACACATATGTTCAGTTCTGTAACGTTTGCATTTGAGGAATCGACTAATGGACCGGACAAGATTTGTTTTGACAAAAAATGCAACCACTGATACTGACAGGATATGACGAAAACCTGACACCCTGGTCAGTCGTTATAACCATCACGTCCTCATCGTAGCCAGCTCTTATGGGTATTATGGGGTTAAGTGTGAGTGAGTGAGTAATAAATCAGCCATATCGTGACGAGAACAATTAATTATTGTATTATAGGACAATAAAATTAGGAATTAAAAGCCTGTTGACGAAGAACAGTAGAACTACCGGTGTATCACAGATATTAAAGTAAAACTAGCATGTTATCATAAAACAATATTTTTAAAGAGAACAATACAATATAAAAACAGGCTATGGATCGCCAACAACTGAAGGCAGATCACCATGCCAGGGACCATGGGGACCTACAGTACATTTGCTTCCTGCATGGACCCTAGCTGGATTTACACCATCCCTTCAGCTATTAGAAATTTTAGATAATCTAGCCATAGATTAAAAGAACATATATACTACGATTAAAAATATTAGTAGGTTTAAATTTACCTTGAATGATTGGGGACTAACGTACTGGTATGGGTTAAAAGGAACAAAGACTAGTGTCCCTTAGGTACGCGGGTTCGAATCCCGGTCTGCCCCGAATATGGATATAGGTTTGTCATCACCACGCCCATGCTCGTGAATTTCACCAACGTGGTAAATGTCCGAGGCCTACATCACTTCGGGGATTCAACACACATCACTGCGTCCCTCGAGATCATACGATCGTTCGTTCAAATCCCAAATTCTCCATGAATATAAGAGAAAACAATGATCTCTCTAGAATATCGCCCAATCGTGATTTGTTTGATTATATTTTGTTGGTATTATTATTGCAGTATTTGTAAGCAATGTGCGAGATTGACTGAAATGTTCTGAGCCTAGGAATGATGGACTGCCTTGATGGAAATGATCTTCAAACTAATCATGGTGAGAGTTTGAGTGTGGATATGTGTTCTGTATGAGGTAGGATGACGCTGAATGGCGACTTCTTCTGTTGTATTCTAAGCATGTATTCGTCCATTTGGGTAAAATGCTGCAAACATTCTGTTTTCTAAACCTCCGCGAAAATAGACCAACGGAGAATTTGGAAAGGTTTTATTACACTTCATACATACAAAACAAATTCGTACACGATAATAGAGTATAGCTAAAACCGTTTCAGTGAAGTTGTATATATCCAACTTGCTTTCATAAAGAAAGTCACTAATTTTAGAACAAACATATAGTGACATAGATGTATATATTTGGATGAACCAGAACATCTTCATGTTTCACATATAGGGGTCAGGAGCATATATAAAAATATATAAAAATGTTTTCAAGCAAGTGTGTAAGAGTGTATTCCAAAGTCATGTTATATATTATGTTAAATGGGAAATTTATATAAAAATTAAATAATTAGAAAACAACAGCTAAGTATTGTTGATTGGTCCATATAAATGCTTGGCTGATGAGAGTAGTCGATTGTCATTTTTTACCTGAAATGACAAAGAAAGAAGGGATGATTTTATTCGTTACATAGTAAACGCTTGAGCTGATTTTCTTGCTGTTATGAATGGTATTTCAGATGTATGTGAAGGTGTGTCAGCTTCTTCCGGAGTCATATCTCGGATATAGTGCTAAAACTCCAAGGATCATAATTATTGCAAACCAGGTAACCCGCTCTCATATGTTTGGGGCACGGCCAGGAACGCCTTAATTGATATTGTGTGATAGGCATGCTACTCCCGTACCGACATGTATACACGGACATACAATCACGCTCAGGTGCACTACACGCAATTTTGAGGCAGCATGACATTGCTGTAATGCCATTACCGTCTATTTCCCAGACCTCTCCCCTAAAGAACATCTCTAGGATGAGATGGAACGTCGCCTACCACAGAACCAGAACTAGTCGCCAGTCCAGTTAGGCAAATCTCCAAGTTGTATCAACCACATGGTGTCTTCCATGCATCGCCGCTGTTTAGCCTGTGTCAATGCATAGTCTGTTTGCATTGAAAACGTACCGATGAATTTCACTTTAAACACAAAAGTAAATCAAATTAAGAGAAATTAAGATTGCGAATCCTCATAATTTTACCTTGCCAAATGAACATTGTAATCCAAAGCAATATTAGCGATTTGAAACTATGATCGTTTGTTACACAACGTTTATCCTAAGTTGAATAAAATTCTTAGATTTGAATGTGAAAATCATCGGTATGTTTTCACTGCAAACAGACTATAGGTGGTGATCACACCCGATATTTACATTCCCCTTTTATTGCGTATCTCTCTGTCTCCTGCTACCGGACATGTTTGTTTTCAAAGAATTTGCCGGCGGTGTTAATTTCAAAATAATTACACCACTTGGTGCTTATTTCTGTTGTTTTTTTCACATATATAATGAAATATTTCTAAATGCGTCCTCAACACCATACTCACCCTCATATACATTCGCATAAAATGAACTTTCTCCATACATTTCGACATGTGCATGACGAGCTGCTGGAACCGAGCAGTATTTCATGGTTGTATCCCATTACCCCTACATCCCATTACCCCTACATCCCAGTACCCCTACATCCCAGTACCCCTACAATTAGTTAACACAACACACGGCATTTACCTGTCTGGCTGAATGAACTTACCCATGGGAGCGATTAAAGTGTTGTGTATACAACTTAGAAAGGATTAAGGTGTTCTTGGTTAGAGAAAGTTTTTTAAGATGAAATGAAGATATCTGTGTATTATATTCTTTTATTTGTGTAATTAAATCCATAAATTAAAACATTAAATCTTAAAGTGTTGTGTATACAACTTAGAAAGGATTAAGGTGTTCTTGGTTAGAGAAAGTTTGTTAAGATGAAATGAAGATATCTGTGTATTATATTCTTTTATTTGTGTAATTAAATCCATAAATTAAAACATTAAATCTTGTGTTCGTGTGTTTGGGCTAGTCCATTGTCCAGGTAACAGGTAACAGGAAGGGGATTAGCAGTGCATTGGACCGTGAACTTTGTTGTTATAAGCTGTAGGGGTAATGGGATGTAGGGGTAATGGGAGGATACCTATTTCATGTGTCGGCTAATACTGAGAATACCTCCAAGAGATAGGTGGGATCGTTTAATCCCAGTAAACTCCGTAATCAACTCCGTATGCTTCGTGGAACTCAAGAAGGCCCGAAAGGAATAGCGGATCCGGCCACCGCCTAGCGGCGCAACTCGGCTTTTTTGGCAACAGAATCCCCCTAGCTTAGAATGTTGCATAGTCTCGGTAATTCTTTTAGATAGCCAATTGACATGTTTCACCATTACCTTGCTTATCATTACAACTTCATTACATAAAACAAATCGCGAGTAACTTCTATACGTGTTTGAAGTTCCTGAATATATTTTACTGGCGCTTCGACGACTAATCCCAATGCGTACATCACTACATACCGTGAGGTCCAAATAGATCTGCGTAACACGGATGAGGGCAGTAGAGCTGACCGTCATGCTTGATAAAATAAAGAAAATAACGAATGAATAATAACACTGTTGGCATGTTGTATGACATCATTGTTCCTAGTTGCTGCATGTCCTTATTTCAAAACTGCAAAACAGTCCTTCTTCAACTAGTATTTAAGAGCTAAACAAAAATACATCCATACCTCTGCTATTTTCCCTGGTGTAAGTTTCCTGCCACATTTGGTACACTTGAAGCAAGTCTTGTGAAAGTCTTTGTTGTTATAGGGTTGTCGTTCAGCTGAAAAATACATAATAACCTTACAACATCACCGAAATACCGATATGTGACTGAATTGTACTTGTTCAATATCTGACACCCCTGAACGAAACTCTACAAGTCAAAGTTACGTACCAATGGTAATGCTTTCACTATTCAGCCATGGCGTGAATTCCTAAGTCGACTTCGATGTGCTCATACCATGGACAAACTCTCACTTTGCAACCATGTACTGAGAAGCCGATCATATTGGCAGCTACAAGCCGAGATGGATATGGTCTTACTTGGCAACCTCCATCTCACAAGCCGAGATGGATATGGTCTTACTTGGCAACCTCCATCTTCCAAGCCGAGATGGATATGGTCTTACTTGGCAACCTCCATCTTCCAAGCCGAGATGGATATGGTCTTACTTGGCAACCTCCATCTTCCAAGTCGAGATGGATATGGACTTACTTGGCAACCTCCATCTTCCAAGCCGAGATGGATATTGACTTACCTAGCAACCTCCATCTCACAAACCGAGATGGATATGGTCTTACTTGGCAGCCTCCATCTCACAAGCCGAGATGGATATGGTCTTACTTGGCAACCTCCATCGCACTAGCCGAGATGGATATGGTCTTACTTGGCAACCTCCATCTCACAAGCCGACATGGATATGGACTTACTTGGCAACCTCCATCTCACAAGCCGGGATGGATATGGTCTTACTTGGCAACCTCCATCTTCCAAGCCGAGATGGATATGGTCTTACCTAGGCAACCTCCATCTTCCAAGCCGAGATGGATATGGTCTTACTTGGCAACCTCCATCTTCAAAGCCGAGATGGATATGGTCTTACTTGGCAGTCTCTATCTCACAAGCCGATATCAATATGGTCTTGATATCCACCCACGTTTGCTGTATATTATTCGAAAATAGTACCGGATATTCCTTTTAGGGGAGGGATATTTTGGGGGAACCAAGTTGTGTGATTGTACATGGATTTAGAAAATGATTTACAGTGTGTTATGAATATCGTAAAAAAGGCGCCATTTTGATGTGCGCGTGAACATGGTAGAAAATAAATTCCAGACTGATAATTGTTCTGAAATTCTTTTAACTTAATTAAAAAAAAATTTAAAACGCGTGTTCTGTCACGTCAGGAACGGCTACGTGCAACTGGCATGCTGGAGGTTGGAACAAGACAGTGGGTTGTGGCACGAGGTCTTAACGTGTTAGTGACATTGTGGCGTGGGGTATATCTGAGACTGCCAGAACACCTTTACACGTCATTCACGGACGTGTTACGTGGCAGTATTACCGTGACAACACCCTCGAGGCAGACATGGTTGTCGGTTTGTTTTTCAGGATGACAAATGAAGAACATACAGGACTCGTATTTCTAGACCATGTTGATAGTCAGTATACACAGTATTGCTGCAAATCCATCTATACAGACTAGACCATGTTGATAGTCAACATACACAGTATTGCTGCAAATCCATCGATACAAACTAGACCATGTTGATAGTCAGTATACACAGTATTACTGCAAATCCATCAATACAATATAGACCATGTTGATAGTCAGTATACACAGTATTGCTGCACATCCATCGATACAAACTAGACCATGTTGATAGTCAGTATACACAGTATTACTGCAAATCCATCAATACAAACTAGACCATGTTGATAGTCAGTATACACAGTATTGCTGCAAATCTGCCATGTTGATAGTCAGTATACACAGTATTGCTGCACATCCATCGATACAAACTAGACCATGTTGATAGTCAGTATACACAGTATTATTGCAAATCCATCAATACAAACTAGACCATGTTGATAGTCAGTATACACAGTATTGCTGCAAATCCCTCAATACAAACTAGACCATGTTAATAGTCAGTATACACAGTATTACTGCAAATCCCTCAAAACAAACTAGACCATGTTGATAGTCAGTATACACAGTATTGCTGCAAATCCATCAATACAAACTAGACCATGTTGATAGTCAGTATACACAGTATTACTGCAAATCCATCAATACAAACTAGACCATGTTGATAGTCAGTATACACAGTATTACTGCAAATCCATCAATACAAACTAGACCATGTTGATAGTCAGTATACACAGTATTGCTGCACATCCATCGATACAAACTAGACCATGTTGATAGTCAGTATACACAGTATTACTGCAAATCCATCTATACAAACTAGACCATGTTGATAGTCAGTATACACAGTATTGCTGCAAATCCATCAATACAAACTAGACCATGTTGATAGTCAGTATACACAGTATTATTGCAAATCCATCAATACAAACTAGATAATGTTGATAGTCAGTAAAAACAGTATTGCTGCAAATCCCTCACTACAAACTAGACCATGTTAATAGTCAGTATACACAGTATTATTGCAAATCCCTCAATACAAACTAAACCATGTTGATTGTCAGTATACACAGTATTGCTGCAAATCCCTCAAAACAAACTAGACCATGTTGATAGTCAGTATACACAGTATTATTGCAAATCCCTCAATACAAACTAGACCATGTTGATGGTCAGTATACACAGTATTATTGAAAATCCATCAATACAAACTAGACCATGTTCATAGTCAGTATACACAGTATTGCTGCACATCCATCGATACAAACTAGACCATGTTGATAGTCAGTATACACAGTATTATTGCCAATCCATCTATACAAACTAGACCATGTTAATAGTCAGTATACACAGTATTGATGCAAATCCCTCAAAACAAAGTAAAACATGGCAACAGTCACTATACACAGTATTGCTGCAAATCCCCCAAAACATACTAGACCATGTTGATAGTCAGTATACACAGTATTGCTGCAAATTCATCGATACAAGGTAGACTATGTTGATAGTCAGTATACACAGTATTGCTGTACATCCATCGATACAAACTAGACCATGTTGATAGTCAGTATACACAGTATTACTGCAAATCCCTCAATACAAACTAAACCATGTTGATAGTTAGTATACAAAGTATTACTGCAAATCCCTCAAAACAAACTAGACCATATTGATAGTCAGTATACACAGTATTGCTGCACATCCATCGATACAAACTAGACCATGTTGATAGTCAGTATACACAGTATTATTGAAAATCCATCAATACAAACTAGACCATGTTGATAGTCAGTATACACAGTATTGCTGTAAATCCCTCAATACAAACTAGACCATGTTAATAGTCAGTGTACACAGTATTGCTGTACATCCAGCGATACAAACTAGACCATGTTGATAGTCAGTATTCACAGTATTACTGCAAATCGATCAATACAAACTCAACCATGTTGATAGTCAGTATACAAAGTATTACTGCAAATCCCTCAAAACAAACTAGAACATGTTGATAGTCAGTATACACAGTATTGCTGCACATCCATCGATACAATATAGACCATGTTGATAGTCAGTATACACAGTATTACTGCAAATCCATCAATGAAACTAGACCATGTTGATAGTCAGTATACACAGTATTGCTGCAAATCCATCGATACAATATAGACCATGTTGATAGTCAGTATACACAGTATTACTGCAAATCCATCAATGAAACTAGACCATGTTGATAGTCAGTATACACAGTATTACTGCAAATCCATCAATGAAACTCAATAGAATACTAGACTATGTTGATAGTCAGTATACACAGTATTGCTGCAAATCCATCAATACAAACTAGACCATGTTGATAGTCAGTATACACAGTATTACTGCAAATCCATCAATGAAACTAGACCATGTTGATAGTCAGTATACACAGTATTGCTGCAAATCCATCGATACAATATAGACTATGTTGATAGTCAGTATACACAGTATTGCTGCAAATCCATCGATACAATATAGACCATGTTGATAGTCAGTATACACAGTATTACTGCAAATCCATCAATGAAACTAGACCATGTTGATAGTCAGTATACACAGTATTGCTGTACATCCATCGATACAAACTAGACCATGTTGATAGTCAGTATACACAGTATTACTGCAAATCCCTCAATACAAACTAAACCATGTTGATAGTCAGTATACAAAGTATTACTGCAAATCCCTCAAAACAAACTAGACCATGTTGATAGTCAGTATACACAGTATTGCTGCAAATCCCTCAATACAAACTAGACCATGTTGATAGTCAGTATACACAGTATTGCTGCAAATCCATCAATACAAACTAGACCATGTTGATAGTCAGTATACACAGTATTGCTGCAAATCCCTCAAAACAAACTAGACCATGTTGATAGTCAGTATACACAGTATTGCTGCAAATCCATCAATACAAACTAGACCATGTTGATAGTCAGTATACACAGTATTACTGCAAATCCTCAAAACAAACTAGACCATGTTGATAGTCAGTATACACAGTATTGCTGCAAATCCATCAAAACAAACTAGACCATGTTGATAGTCAGTATACACAGTATTACTGCAAATCCCTCAAAACAAACTAGACCATGTTGATAGTCAGTATACACGGTATTGCTGCAATTCCCTCAAAACAACTAGACTATGCTGATAGTCAGTATACACAGTATTACTGCAAATCCATCAATGAAACTAGACCATGTTGATAGTCAGTATACACAGTATTGCTGCAAATCCCTCAAAACAAACTAGACCATGTTGATAGTCAGTATACACAGTATTACTGCAAATCCCTCAAAACAAACTAGACCATGTTGATAGTCAGTACACACAGTATTACTGCAAATCCATCAATGAAACTAGACCATGTTGATAGTCAGTATACACAGTATTGCTGCAAATCCCTCAAAACAAACTAGACTATGTTGATAGTCAGTATACACAGTATTGCTGCAAATCCCTCAAAACAAACTAGACCATGTTGATGGTCAGTATACACAGTATTACTGCAAATCCATCAATGAAACTAGACCATGTTGATAGTCAGTCAGTATACACAGTATTGCTGCAAATCCATCGATACAAACTA